GTCATCTAGAAAATGTCCTATGCTTTATCTACTAGTATATGTCTTGTGCCACACACATCCATTCATTCGTTCAACAGCAACAACAAAAATTAGTGAGCCACTGCAGTGTGGAGACTTGCCCTGGCCTCTGTTTGCTCATAGTCTAGTAGAGAGAGTGGTTTCTCTAGTCTATGAAAACACATACATGTCTGATACTACAATAGAATCTGTACAGTGTCAGAAGTAGGGGACAAAGGAAGGGGACCTGGCTGGTTGTGCAGGGCTGGGCTACTTGGGGAATGGGGAGACATGGTCAGGAAGGACTTCTGATGTATCTATTCTACAGCTGTGTGTTAAGAATGCAGTCCGTGTTCCCCAGGCAGATTGTTGGGAATGATGTGTATTGGTGGAAAAGATAACTCAGGCAGAGGGAGCAGCATGAGCAGATGCTCAGGGGCATGGACCAACAAGGCACATTCAGGAATAAATGGAAAAGGCCTCACATGGAGTCCTGCTCGTGCCAGGTACCTTTGTAGGTCCTTGATCATATAGCTCCCATTTATTGAGTACTGCTGTGTTCTACCTACATCTCAATCCCCACAACAATTTTGTAGGTAAGTATCATCCAATTTTTTCAAATATGGAAACTGAGCGCCTAAGAGATCAAGGGTATGTGAGTAAGCTTAAGTCTGAAGAAATAGATAAAATAATTATAAAAGCAATAACAATAACAAAAATAATAAAAAACAGCAAAGGTTCATATGGTGTTAGGCATGTTCTAACTGCAGCATGCAATATAGTATCCACTAGCTTATTTAAATTAATTAAAATTGAATTAAATGGAAAATTCAGTCTTCCATTGTAGTAGCCACATTTCCAGTGCTCAGTTGCCACATGAGGCTGGTGTCCACTGTATTGGACAGTGTGAATATAGAGCATTCCCATCGTCACAGACTGTTCTTTTATTGGACAACACTGGTCTAAGCACTTTACATATATTGACATATCTAATTCTTTTGGTAATCCTATGAGGAAGATACTGTTTTTCAAACTGTACAGATGTAGAAATCGAGGCATAAAGAAGATCAGAAACTTAACCAAAGTCACACAATGAATGAGTCCTTATTTTTAAGCACTGCACTATAGTGATAACCCAATATATTTATGTTCGATATAACATGAGTGGATATTAGTGAAATAATAGAATTCCGTGTCTGCTTGTGTGTAGACTAGTGTTAGGTCCTCTGCAGACAATAGGTCTTTGATGTGATTCCTGCCCGTCCAGGAGCTTGCAGTTGGCACAGGCTTTGCATACCCAAGGCTGGTCATCTCTAGAGAGCCTCCTCCCTGGGCAGCCCTCACACCGCTCAGCCAGCTTTGTCAGGTGACTCATTTGATGCTGTTTTTTCCTTCAGATTCAGAATCAAGAGTCTCAAGATGATATAGTCTTAAGTAATGTTCAAAACCCTTCTTACCCCCCTCACCCCCATCTTCAGAGAACATGTCTGAGGTGGTTATTTCAAGAGAATCCTTTTCAGTGTGCCAACACATCAGATTAGGAGATGGGAAATCCTAGTTTGAGCCCGATTTCTTCCTCTAAGTAGATACATAAACATGACTACATTGCTTTACCTCTCTGAAATTCAGTTTCTTCAACTGTGAACTAGAGATAAAGTTCACATATCATGGCATGTTCTAGAGACTAAATGAAGGGCACAGTTTTTGAGGATACTTTTCCAAGCTATAAAGTACTTTATATAGCCATAAAGTGGGACATAATTATAACACAAATGCTCAAACTTGGGATGTTATTCTTCTGTATGACCCTTTAAAGTTTTCAAAACAGCTGTAACTTGATAAATTACAGGATACCATTCTCTTAATCATAACATTTGCAAAGTCTCCTTTTTCTTTTATATAAATATAATAGGTACTCAATAAATGCTTGGTTGGAAGGATGGTTGTCAGGACGGATGGGGGAGAAGAAGGGAGACAGCTCGTAGAGTAATTAAAAGAGCTGTTCGTGGTGTTTTAAATTTCCCTTTTTTAATTTTGTTTTTAAACATACTGCTTGATGTGAACTATATGTGTATGTTGAGGGGTGGGAGTATTAAATAGAGGCCCAGAAGTGATTCATTGAATCAGTAAGCTTGTTTTTCTGCTATTTGTCTTTTCATTCAACAAAAATTTATTGAGCAACTACCCTCAGCTGGGCATTGTGCAAGTTGCAGGGAAAGCATATTTGACTATGTCACTATTTTTTTTTTTTTTTGGCATCTGTTTCTTCAGCTGCTAATTTTGCCCCTTAAGCATTCTGAGGATTTCAGAATAAACTGACACTTTTGTAGTCATGTGAGGGGCCCCGGCAGTATTGAGGGCTGCACTTGTCGATGTGCATGTGCAGTCCGCAACTCCTCTACAGATTGTGAAATGTGTTTCTTCAGAAAGGACTAAGCTCCTCCCACCTTTTCTTGCTTTCCCCTCTTGGTTTTTGGGCCTTTTTCCTCAGGGCAGCCCATCAAATCTCTGGGTGGCCAAAGGAAAAATGAGAGAGGCCCACTCTCATGTGGTCTCACAGAAAGCATCAGCTGTGCGCTGCTGTTCATCAGGTGGACGTTAGGCAGAATGCAGCAAACCTCTCTTGAGGGGAAACTGGGCAAGACCGGTGCTGTGCAAGCCTGGCTAGGGGTTACCGAAGTCTCCTCAGCACCTAAGAACCTTGGGAGGGCCTTTTTTAGCCCTCAAGTTTCCAGGCAAAGAGGCACCTTACCTGGTATTTTATTTATTTATTTATTTATTTTTTTGAGACAGAGTCTCGCTTTGTTGCCCAGGCTAGAGTGAGTGCTGTGGCGTCAGCCTAGCTCACAGCAACCTCAAACTCCTGGGCTCAAGCAATCCTACTGCCTCAGCCTCCCGAGTAGCTGGGACTACAGGCATGCACCACCATGCCCGGCTAATTTTTTCTATATATATTTGTTGGCCAATTAATTTCTTTCTATTTATAGTAGAGACAGGGTCTCGCTCTTGCTCAGGCTGATTTCAAACTCCTGACCTCGAGCAATCCACCCGCCTCAGCCTCCAGCCCTCGGATCTCCTGGCAGGGCCCGTCTTAGCTGACTTGGAGTCTGGGAACTGCAGTCCGCTGGGGCAGCCCCACAGGACTGAGCAGAGCAGGGGCCTTGATCTGAAAACACAGAGGCAAAGGACTCTTGCAGACTCAAGTCTCAGGCTTCTGTTGCCTGGTTGCTGGGCTCTGACTGCTGCAATAAGCCACATAGAAAGTTTGGAAGAGTCTGACTTCCCCCTGCTGCTGGGCCTCTGAACAATAGCAGAGGTTCACAAGTTGCTGTGCCCCAGAAAGTAGAATTTGGAAAAAGCAATGGAAAATCCTAGAAAGCTGTTGGAAAAGCCTAGAACGTTGTAAGAAGCCTGGCTGTGGCCCCTTTCCCACGTTCTAGAAAGTCCTGCAGCTGAGCTGCCAGTGCCTTCAATATCTGGGGATTCACAGCCTAATGAGACATTCCCACTCTACCGTGTACCTGGCTACCTCCTGCAGAACTCGGTATAGACTGAACTCATCAGGAAACCTGCCTGAGCCCCTGCAGGTCGGTTAGCTGCCTGTGTGGCCCCTGTGATTCCTCCTGTCCTATACTGATCCCCCTACATTGAAATGCTCCATTTTTTAGGGTTCTCCCTGCTACCAGGCTGTGACCACCCTGGGAGCTAGAATTTGTCTTCCTTACCCTTGCATTCCCAAGCATTTCTACTCTCACTTCCTGCCCCAAGCTAGCAACTGTGGTAGCTTCTGAGCCGCTCAGCCTGTGGGTAAGATAGCGTCAGCTGCTCGCAGCTTTTATCATAGAAGGGGAGGCAGATGACATGTGATGTTGCAAAGTTACCAGTATTTTTTGTGCCAGGGAAGTTCCAGTGCACATTTGACAGCTCTTGTTGAGGAAGTAAGATTTGAGTCAGGAATAAATAGGAGTTGGCCTGGCAGAGAGGTTGGGGAATGGCATTCCAGGCAGAGGGAAGAGCAGATGCAAAGGTCTTGAAGTGAGGAGAGCATCAGATATGGGAGATGGAACACAGAAGGGCCATTGCACTGGAGCTGGCGAGGTCGGCAGGAGCAGTTCTCTCCTGCGCCCCAGTCTCTGTGCCCTGCCCAAGCACTTTCCACCTGCCGCCTCCTGTTACAGTTCCACATGTTTGCAGCTCCCACATCCTACCTGGTATGTTGTGCATAGAAGGTGCTTGTTGGGTATTCCAAGTTCTAAATGGTCTTCCTAGCTCTGTCATCACTTTCGTAACTTGCCTAGCAAGCATTGAGGAATACAATCTGTGTGGAGAAGCCAGCGTTTCTACCGTTAATGAGAAACTCTGCTATGTGGCATGCTTTTACAGGAACCCGTTCTCAGTCACCCTGTCCTCCACACTTGGAGTTTCGTAATAAGTAGTAGTAAGGACGTTGACCTAGAGATGCCAAAATGATTCAGTCATCGAGTAGTTCCTTCGCTTTTGCCATCTTTCAGATTGAGATGTTTTGTGTTAATCCAGATTCCATGCGGGTGTGCTCCTGGCTAGCAGTGTGGCCTCGGGCAAGTCACTTAGCCTCTGCAGACCTTAGTTTCTCCTCTGGTATCTGTGGCATTAATAATATCTCCTCGATAGTGTTACTATAAAATGAGACCATCCATGTAAATAGTACAGTGCCTGGTATTTAGTGAGCTACAGAATAATTGATAGCTGCTGCTTTTATTGTGATAATTATACTTGCTATTGTTATTTCAATGTTGTATGCCTTACACTGACCAGAATAAAGCAAAAACAGAGCAGGTTTTCTAGTTTTCCCATGACAGGCAAGTAGGTTTTTTAGGTTTGCATTTGAGACTGGCCTACTCATGGGACTCTTCTTCCATGTTGTTTGGCTATTAAAAAAAAAATAATGATGTTTGTTTTTAGCTTTTCTTTCTTTTTTTTTTTATTTTTTAAAGAGGATTTTGTTTTGTTTTCCTTCCCTACAGGAGTGATTGGGGCAGATGTGAGAGGGCACGGCCTCGTCTGTGAGGGACAGCCAGTAACGTCACGGCTGGCTGTCATCTGTGGAACATCTTCTTGTCACATGGGGGTGAGTCCGCGGGCACCAAGGCAAGGCCACCCCACGCAGGGGGTGAGCTGCTGGCTCCTTCACTATCTCCACTTCCTTCCTCCCTTCCCTGTCCGCCCCCTACTCTGTCCAGCAGAAACCCAGCCCTCCCTCCAGTAGCCTTGCTTGCATTTGTTGGATCTTTTTCCAAGGGCCAGATTCTTAAAAAGTGTGAAAAGGGTTGAGTCAGCCTTTGACATCACCCTGGCCAGAGTTCCCAGGCTTCAAGGGTGAAATCAGTCAGACCCAAAGATGGCAAAGCCTAGTGCACCCAGCCTGGTGTGTTCCTAATGGGTAGCCGTGTCTTCTCTGCAAAGGGGGGTGTCTGTTTTCCATGACCGCTGAGTTCTCTCTCAATCAATATAAATCCATCTCCCTGGGAGCGTCCCGATGATCTATAGAATTAGGCTGCATATCATGACTTCAAAAGAACACTGATAAGCAATTTTCACTTTGTTAATTTTTCTCCATGAATTAGTGGAAAGGCTTTCTCCAAGATTGCAGTTAAAATTTAGTGCCTGCCCTAAAATTTATATCTTCTTTAAATGCATGAGTCTGAAAGCATTCCATTCCGATAAGTACCCATTTCTACCATATTTTTATTTAAAAGTCATTACTCTGTTAAACTCAGATCGACGACTCCTTGGATTTTTCCCAGATGAGTAAAATAGAGGGAAGAGTGGGGGAGGAGTGGGGAGATGAGCAGAGATTAGAGTGGGATACAGCCCAGGGCAGAATCAGCACAGCTATGGAGGAAATGATGTGCAACGTGAAACCGTGTAGTAACTGCAGGGACCACTGAGCCTTTTGTACCAGCAGATATTTTGGTTGAGTAAATATTAATACATTTACTTATTTACTGATTCCTGCTCTTGTGTTCGGGCAGTGCTAAACCCCTGGGATATAAGGATGATATAGGCCCTCCATTTACAAGTTAGAGTTATAACACATGTTACAGTGCATTATAATAGGCCCCACAATATAAATTCAAATTGAGCTCCTGATACTGAGCATGTGTTATGTGCTGGGCATTGTGTGGGGTGTTCTCAAACAGGCCATCCCATTTTGTAGAGAGGGTGGACTCAGCCCAATGGGTTTCCAGTCCTGCTTCCTCTGCTTGCTAAGTATGGGCCTTTGGGCAACGTACTTAAACTCCCTGGGCCTCAAATGCCTCATCTGCAAAATGTGGAGACTGATAGCACCTGTGCTGTGAGGGTCAAATGAGGGATACAAAAGTGTTTCAGTACGGTCCACACAAGGGTTTGCTCTTGGTGACTAGCACGGTTGTCGAGCAGAAAGGAGACTGACCGATTCTGCCTGGGAGGGCCCAGAGCCAGAGAAGTCTTCCCAAGGTGACATTTGTGCTAAGCTTTAAGGAAATAAATTTCCTTTTGTTTGTTTCTCTGGGTGCTGGGCAGAGTCTTAAATGGAACTTGTCTAAGTTTAAAAGTTGCAGCACATTTCTTCTGCTCAGCAGCCCTGCTGCAAGGCTTAGCTGTCACCGGGGGGGGGGGGAGATCTATAGAGGCCTAAGTCCCCGTTAGTGGGAGGTGCCCAAACAGGGAGCCAGCCTTGATTTTCCTTGACTAGTTAGCGTGTCTTCCCTGAATACTGATTTAAACCTATTCAAATCATCTCTGATTTTTACAGGGACACGTCCAATCTGGCTTCTCCTGTGAAGTCTGAATTTCAGGCATTTTCATCCTACTCAATTCAGATTTCTGAGTACAAGCAAATATAAATCAATGTGAGTGACTCTGTGCCTTGCTTCTCAGTCTTACTGTCTCTTAATGGGGATGACACTAGCTTTTCCTATCATATCCATTTTATAAATTAGGAAACTGAGGCATAGAAAAATCTAGTAATTTTCCCAAGGTCACAAAGATACGAAAGTTCTGAAGCAAAGAATTCAGATCTAGCTCTGATTCTAAAGCTCATGCTCATCAATGCCTCACTGTATTGCGCATGCCTATAATGTATCCAGAGAAAAATGGAGAGAGCATGGGCTTTTGCATCATGCAGAGAGGCAGGTCTGAACATCTGCTCATGCACTTCTTGGCCCTGTAACCTGGGTGAGCCACTTAACTTTTCTGAGCCTCTGATTGTTCATCCATCAAATCAGGGGTAATAATGCCCATCTTAGAGCGTTGTTGGGTGATGTGCATTGTGTATGTATTACCTAGCACATAAGAAACACTCAGAAATGGTGGGGATTCTTATTAAACTTTCCTAGTGATGGAAATGGCTCACATGAAGCAACTGTTTGGACTTTAAGGAGTTTGATGGGCAGCTGCAGTTGGTTGCCATGAATGAGGGCCAGAAAATGCCCGTTTATTATGGTCATGTTGTGCTGGAAATAAAGTCCCCACCCCCAGCCTGCTTTGTACTTGGGAGTCGGCAGGGACCTTCTGGGCCAAGGGGATTAATCATCAGCTTTAATGTTATGTCACAGGGCGAGACTGTGGGCATGCCCCATCGGCTAGTGCCTTTGATGTCCCTCAGGTGCTGGGATCCCAGCGACAATAACACCTTTGTGAGGTCTAGGAGAGGTGCAGGTCTGAGGAAACACTCCCAGGGAAACTCAAGGACCCCCTTTGTTGTGGTTCTGGCAAATAAAACCACCACTGTCAGGAAAAACTCACCGAACAGAACACAGGGACCAAAGTGGGCTGTGGACCTTTCAAAAAGTGGTTTTCAACATGACCTAAAGGATTCTCTTTCTTCCTGTCTGCTCAGTCACTTCTGATGTTTGCAATTCAGTACGTTAATTGCGACAAAATTCCTGGGAACATTTTGTGCTTGATCCAGGTTGACTCTTTGTAAATCACTGAAAAAAAGTGAATGAATGAATGAATGAATGACCAAGCGAGTGAGTATTGGTAAACACTTAGAAGCTTCCTCCCTCAGGGTTCCTGTTACTTTCAGGAATCTGGAGAAAAAGGCTGAGGTTGAACATAAGACGTACTAATAAGGCCTTTGATATTTTAGAAGATACAAGTGTGGGCTACACATTTATCTTCTTTGTGGATGATTTAATTAACAAAGAAAAAAATGCTGTTCTTTTTTTAACTCCACTAAAGCAGAGCTGCTTGTTCAGAGTTAATTACTACCAAGTCCCAAAACCCCAGATAATACACAGCAGGGGTTAGCCAGAGGTTGAAAAGTCACAGGGTGAGCTGGAGCTGATCCTTGCCATTGCTCCTGCACACCTTTTCTTGAGGTGTCAAGTTGGGTTGCAGCGTGACAACTTGTCTTCCAGTGAGCACCTCAGGTGGGGAGAGGACCCTGGGGAGTTGAGGTCAGGAGGAGTATTAAGGAGGTAAGGTTTGATGAGAACTGGGAAACACATCTGCACCTTAAATCACTCAGAACTGAAGTTTTCTCAGTGTAAATGAATGTACAGAGATGGTGGTTCTCTATCGCTGAGTAGACGTGGAGTCTCAAAAACATGGGCTCAGATGTTGGTCTTACCACTTACTGTGTGCATTTAGGTAAGATACTTCATCTTTCCGTGCCTCAGTTTCTTTATCTGCTAAATGTGAGCAATAGTATTTACCCATAAAATTGTGTTTGGGATTAAATTAGGTAATCTTTGTCAATGGCTTGGTACAAAATACCAAATGTGGTATTGTTATTTAAAAAAATTATTCATTAAGGCTAGAAGAATCCATGTGGTTATGGGTTAGAAATAGAGACATCAGTATGAACTCATGTTTAGCTTTATGTGGATTCAGGTGGATACATGTAGAAATAGTTAAGGATACGTGTATGCATACAAGTTAGTAAACATGTATGGATTTCCTAGCTTTGTCAGCTGAGATGGCCTAAAAACAAGGACACACCAGGAGCTAGTTGTTATAAGCATACCTAGTGCTCAGATCTTGGTTTCTAATATTATCAAATAAAAAGAACCAGGACTCCTTGGAGAAATGGTTGATTTTAGGATTGGAGCAGGAAATATACAAGATGAGCCTGGAGTATCCCGTAGTGCCAGAAAGTTGGGAAGTAGAGAAAGAAAAAAAAGAAAGAAAAGAAAGGAAGGAAAAGGTGAGAATATATCAGAGGAACCACGTGAGGGAGGGAGGGAGGAAGGGAGGGAGGGAGGGAGGAAGAAGAAGGAAGAGGAGGAGGAGGAGGAGGAGGAGAAGGAGAAAGAGAAAATATATCAGAGGAACCACCTGAGGGAGCTTTACCAGTGGTCAACATTGGACAGATTTAAGCCATAAAATAAAATATTATTGGATTATAACCCAAAGTGTAACATAAATATCCATGAGTTCATACTGACATAAATAAGTGATTGAATAAATAAATAAATAAACAGAAGAGACAAATCTCCTGTGCAGAATAATTCCAAATAATTTATGTAAATATTCCACCATCAAAGAAGTGGAACATAACTTTCCACTCCTAAAGTGTGGGCTGCATACATATAGTTACTTCCTTCTAGAAATTACGGTATGGAAATGGGGAAGGAGAAAAATTTTACATTGGAGAAATATGACAAACATTGGCCAGGTGAACAAGGTCAACATCAATAGTGATAAGTCATGTTGATATTATATACGACTGTTACAATGTGATGGGCTGGCATTTTGTCATCTTATTCCCAAAAACCTATACCTGGTTTAATCATCATAGAAACATCCAGACAAATCTTAGTTAAAAGACATTCTACAAAATACCTCACCAGTGCTCCTCAAAACTGTCAAGATCACCAAAAAACAAGAGAAGTCTGAGAAACTATCATAGCCAAGAGGAGCCTAAAGAGATGTGACAACCAAATGTAATCTGGCGTCCTGCATGGGATCCTGGAACAGAAAAAAGGCCATTAGGTAAAAACCAAGGGTGTCTGAATAAGGTATAGACTTTAATTCATGATATCAGCATCATTCATTAATGACATATATACCTTATATGAGATGACATATGAGTGACATATATACCTTATATGAGATATTAGTGATAGGGAAACTACTGCA